CCGAAAAAGGTTCTGATCAACAGTTTCTACATTTACTACAATTTGAGCTATAGAATTAAGTCTGTTTTCAATGTGACGCTCAGGCAAATACTCCAAATTGTGAATTTTGTAGTCATGATACCCATTGGTCATTAAAATTCGTTGAACGACTGATTTATCGAAATTCAATTCCCGGCTAGCCTGCCGCATAGAATTTCGTGGATTTTGTTCGAAATACTGTAACAGTCTAGCTGTAATAACATTGTTTGGTCAATTATTTGATTTTTCCGAACAGAAAGTGCATCTTCATTTCGTCGCAAGGTCGCCTCCAATCTTGTAAAGATTCGATGATCAGGAATGAGGCGCTCTGGATACCTTTCTCGATATACTCTACAGCTCTTCTTGAATTTTTTTGTGACTCGCCGTAAATTAGCAACAGTTTCAACTTTTTCTGAATGAGAAAAGATTTTGTAGGCACAAAGGTTATACCTTTGACGTTCGTATTGAGTATTTTGTGACATTTATGCACTTTAAACAACGAACATTCAATTATTTTCTAACGACTTCTTGATCCTCTCACAGCTAATGTGATTTTTAGGTAGTATTTCTTTTGAGACTCTTTAGGACGATATTGCTTATAATTTTTAAATGGGGAGTAATGCAGAAAAAATTCTCTAATAAAAGTTTATTAGAAAAAAGAGGGCTTTTTAACAGGAAAAAAAATTGAGTATGTTTCTGGAAAAAATATAATTGATGACGTCATTAGTCGTTTCTGTCGAATCCCAAAGATAATACTCTCGATTGAAATTGGAGTTTACCTCATCCCATTTAGCACCACGTGTCCCAAATTTTATTTAATTTTTTTATATCCTCACTGTAAGCCCGTACTATCGAGTTTGATACACCCTGTACAACCGCTCGTATCTAAACATTTTGAGATAACTTCATGTGAATTTACGGAACACGAATTTTTATTAAAAATAATTCGCTTAATAACAAAACCCGGTCGTATTCAAATTTGTTTCCTGTAGAACACATCCTTATCGACTGGAAATTTGAATACGTATCCGAGCTCGGTCTTTCGTCACATAAATTTGGAGTTCCGTGAAACAATATAAAATTTATGCAAAATTTATCCTTATCGGGAGCTTGCGAGTAGTAAAATTTATTGCCACAAAGAAAATTCATTAGCGTACCATAAAAAGTCAATTAGGACGTGTCTTTGGCG